ATATATATATATATATATATATGAGGTTGTCGGGGGGACCTGGGGGCATCCTCACATTATCTTAAGTTTTAATTTTTAATATTTTGCCTTTCAAAGCAGAAATGAGCAAATAAACAGGAGATCTGGTCTTCACATTTAGATTTGGCTCAGCCCTTGTTAGAGCAGCATTTTAGGAAATATGACTTTGTTTACTGGTGAGTAGTGGAAATAAATGATGTGCATTGAACACCAAGGAATGAAATGTCAGAGCAAATTTAGGACTCACAGCATCTAGTTCTGTGTTGAGCTCATATTTTTAGCCAAGACGGTGGCTCATTGTAAAGGTACATGTGTGTCTGTGAACTTTATTATGTTTTGTGTAAGAAATTGCTGCTAAACACTGTTAGTATTCTCTGGTGAAGGATAGGGCTTCTTACTAGAGTTGAGTATTATATGACAGATCTTAGGTTGTGCTAGTGTCGGAAATTGATTAAAGATTTGCTGTCTTTAGTAATCCCATGAAAGGTACATTTTTTTTCTAGTTGTTTTGACAGATTTCATTATGTTTGACCATTCCTAGTGCTTCTTGTTTAAGGTAGCTGTTTATGTTTTCAGGTACTCATTTAATTCGATTTCTTCTTTTTTTCTTCCTAAGAATAATATTCAGCAAGCCTTCCAGAAGATCCATGCTTTATTAAAGGAAGAATTTAGCCCTGAAGAGAACCAGATTATAGCTTGTCCTTCCATGGAACAGGTAATCCATAGACACAAGACCCTGACTACTTTTGTCCTCACTCTGATGGTTTAAAATGTCTTTGAGTAACCGTGTTTTTATTTTCAATTTTTTAAAAATTGGCCATTATTTTATTTTGGTGGGCAAGAATTCATACTTTGAGTAACTGTAAAAACGACTCAGTATCTTCTGAGGTCTACCTTCATGAGGGAGGGGAACTATCGGTATCAGCCCATGGCTGATTCCTATGTGGTAGAAGTCAAACAGCCCTCTGCCTTCCAACCTGTCAGCAGTTCTGACAGCAGCCATCACTCAGAAGCACTCTCCTTCTCTGCTGAGTGTGATCATTTGTTGTAATGGCCACATAGAACTCACAGACTATCCTCAAACTTAAGGGGTCCAGTAGGGATGTAACAAGAGAAATAGGTGGCAGTCTGCTTCCCTGGAAACCCTGTGGGGCAAGTGTCCTGTTGTCATTGAGTCGAGTCACATCAACTTGACAGCAGTATGTTTGGTTTTGGGGATACATATTAGGGGGAATCCTTGGATTGTGGAAACAGGTGTGTCAGTTATTAACTGAAAGGTTGGAGGTTCGAATCCACCTAGAGGCACCTTGAAAGAGATTTGGCAATGTACTTCCAAAAAATCATCCATTGAAAGTGCATGAAGCCGCCATGAGTTGGAGTTGAGGTGATGGCAGTTGGTTTTTTTATTGTCATGTGTTCTAGTGTGGTGTAGAATCAACACTGGACTGTTAACTGCAAAGGTGGCTCAGACCCACCAGCTGTTCCTCAGAAACCCTCTATATAGGGTTGCTATGATTTGCAACCAACTCGACAGCATACAACAGTAGTATTAGGAATAATCCATTGTGGAGGATAGTTTATTTCTGGTCTTTAGTTCAGTATAGTTTAAGAGGTTTAGGATATGGTAAATGATCTAAGTTCACGACTATAAATACAAGGTAGAATGTAATAGGTGTCAAGAGAGAACAAGTGGTGTTTTATGGATGAGAGGGACTGGGGAAGATTTTCAAAAGAACAAGTAATAATTAAGCTAAATCTGAAGAATGAATGGCACTTTAACAGTTCAAAAGACATTTCGGCTAGGGGGGTAGACTGAATAAACCTTGGATATGAGAGAATGAAGGACTTGTTAGGGAACTTCCCAGTTGGGTGAGAACATAAACCAGCGGTTGTAGGTTGTGATAGGATAATATACATACCCCTCCAAGGAAGACCAGTTACACCACTGTTTCTTCAGATTTATACACCAACCACTAAAGTCAGTGATGATGAAATTGAAGAATTCTACCAGTTGCTTCAGTCTGGAATTGACCAAACATGCAATTAAGATGCACTGATCATTACTGGTGATTGGAATCTAAAGTTAAAAACAAAGAGGAAGGATCAGTAGTTAGAAAATATAGTCTTGGTGATAGAAATGATTCCGGTGTGGTGCTGTGGGTTAATAGTTTGAACCGCAAGGTCAGCCGCTCCTTGGAAACTATATTCAGGGTCACTATAGGTTGGAACCAACTCAACGGCACAAAACAAAAACAAAAATATGATTAAGAACTGATGGTTCTGAAGGAAGCAATCCAAGTGGCACTGAAGACATTGGCAAGCAGTAAGGCGCCAAGAATTGACAGACTACAAATTGACATGTTTCAATGAACTGATGCAGCACTAGAGACACTCACTCATCTATGCCAGGAAATGTGGAAGTTCTGCCAGCTCATTAGAAGAGATCATATTTGTGTCCATTCCGAAGAAAGGTGACCCAATGGAATGCAGAGGTCATTGAACAATATCATTAATATCACATGCAAGTAAAATTTTTCTGAAGCTCATTTAAAATGTAGCAGTATCCTGACAGGGAGCTGTCAGAAATTCAAGCTGGATTCAGAAGAAAATGTGGGACTAAGGATATTATTACTGATGTCAACATGGATCTTGGCTAAAAAGACAGGATACCAGAGAGAAGTTTGCTTGTGCTTTATTGACTATACAAAGGCATTCAGCAGTGTGGATCATAACAAATCATAACACTGTGAAGGATGAGTATTCTACAACATTTAATTGTGCTCATGAGGAACCTGTCCATAGACCAAGAGGCAGTTGTTGGAACAGAACAAGGGGATACTGAAAAGTTTAAAATCAGGAAAGGAGTGCATCATGGTTGTATGCTTTCATCATACTTATTCAGTCTGTATGGTGAACAAATATTCTGACAAGCTGGATTATATGGAGAAAAATATGGCATAAGGATTGGTGGAAGACTTGTTATTAACAATCTGTGGTATGCAGATGGCACAACCTTGCTTGCTGGAAGTGAAGAGGACTTAAAATACTGATGAAGATCAAAGCCTACTGCCTTCAGTATGGATTGCACCTAAATATAAAGAAAAGAAAAACATATGATAAATGGAGAAAAGATTGAAATTGTCAAAGACTTCATTTTGCTTAGACCCACAATTACACTCATGGAAACGAGTCAAGAAATCAAACAATGTATCGCATTGGGCAAATTTGCTACAAAAGACCTTTTTAAAGGGCTCAAGAGCAAAGATGTCGCCTGATCCAAAATACAGTATTTTCAGTTGCCTTATTTGCATATGAAAGTTGGACAGTGATTAAGAAGACTGAAGATGAATTGATGTATTCTATTTATGCATTTGATTTATGGTGATGACAAAGAATATTGAAAGTAGCATGGACTGCTAGATGAAGAAACAATTCTGTCTTAGAAGAAGTATAGCTAGAATATTCCTTAGAAGCCAGAATGGTGAGCATTCGTCTCTCATACTTTGTAAAACATCTTATCAGGAGATAGAAGGACATCATGCTTGGAAAAGTGGAAGGTCAACACAGTGGCAGCAGCACTGGACTGGACAGTCTGTTCGTTCTGTTGCTTGTGGTCACTATGAGTCAGAACTGACTTGGTGGCACCTAGCAACAACACGGTATTTACTACAGATACACAGTCGTGAAAAGAAGTGGGAGGTAACAGTCTTGGGCTGAGGAAGAAGTGGAAACAGTTTTGGACTGAAGAAAGCCCTGCCAACCTGATAGTGAACTCTGGAGTTCATATGGCCTGTTAGCGCAGCTTGTGCTGGCCCGAGAGGGTGGGCTGTGTGTGCCCTGCTCTGCCAGCCATAGACCTGCGCTAGTCACACCCCACAGGAACTGCTGGCTGGAGCTGTCTACCGACCACACTCCCTGCTGCTGAGTGACAAGTCCTCTCTCTCTCTTTTTTTTTTTTTAAGGTTTTTATTGTGGATTGAGTGAAAGTTTTCAGGGCACATCATCGGTTTCACATTCAAACATTCATAAACCTTGTTTCATTACATTGATTATAATCCCCTCCACATACCATCAGTTAACAGAGTTTCTCTCTATCCTCTTTAGCTTTTTGGGGGTGGGGGAACTTTGCCTTTTTGGAATTTACAGTCTCGGCTTTTAGGGAAGGTTTTTACATTTATCTGTGGGTATCCAGGGCTCATGTATGGAATTACTAACCAGCATAACTGCATAATCAGATAAGGGACATTTTGCTATGTCTGCTAGGTGGCTAAAGTCTGATCCTCAGAGCCTATGGTCAACAACGCTTGGGCCCACAGGGAGACAAGTCCTCTCTTAAAGGGGCATCTGTCTTGTCTCCCCGCCTGAGTTGTATACTGTTGACTGCATTTAGGTAAATCCAACTGCTTCTCCTTCTGTAGCCTCTCAGGGTAGGTCATTGTTGTTTTTTAAAAAAACTTTTCTAATCCATGTAAGAAGTATGGTAAGTACATACATATGTGCATTGATTCATTCTTTCATGCTTTTTTTTGAGTGCCTACTATGTGCCAGTCACTATTCTAGATGCTATGAGGCATTGACTGCTTCACTGAATGAGATGAAACATCAGGGAAATTTTGAGCAGAGGAGTGATTGGTAATTGTGTGTTTCGGGCTGGTTACTGAATTGCAGGTAGACTGGACGAGCTAGTTAAGAGGCTATCGCAGTAGTCCAGGAAGGAGGCTGTGGTTCTTAGACCAGGCCAGCAGTGGTGTTCCATGTGGTTGATTTACACAGAATAGATTGATACGGAATTGAGCGATAGGAATCAAGGATGGTTTCCAAAGATTTGGGCCTGAGCCATGAGTGAGAGAATGATGCCGTTTCTGAGGATGAGAAACCTTCAGGAGTAAGTTTGGGAGACAGGGGCATGATCACCAGTTGTTTTGGCTATGTTGAGTTTGACATGTCTTTTAGACCCTACGAGGTGAAAATACAGTATTATCTGCCCCATTTCGCTGGTGAAGAAAGAAACTGCCCCAGGAGATCAGGGAATTTGGAATGAGACCCTGTGGTCTGATTCTGTGGGTCAGTCTTGGAGTGAGCCCTCGGGTGATCTTTGTCACTTTTGCTGTCCTGTTCAGTTCTTCTGGACACTTCACTGTGACTGATTTTCTTAACATCTGATACATGGCAGTACAAATTATTTGGATATCTTTATTTTGATATAATTTCAAACTTACAGAAAAGATGCAAGAATGGTGCACAGAGCTCCCATAAAGCCTTTACCCAGTTGTTTACATTTTGCCTCATTTGTTCCCCTCCTCCCTCTTTGAAGTCACTGGAGAATAAGTTGAGAGGCATTATGCTTCTTGACTTCAGGGTGCAAATTTTTTTTAAAAAGGTTTTTGTTGTGGATTGAATGAAAATTCACGGGGCAGATCATCAGTTTTACATTCAACAAATCATACATCTTGTTTCATTACAATGATTATAATCCCCTCCATGTATCATTAGTTAACAGTATTTCTCTCTATTTACTTTAGCTCTTTTTTTTTTTTTTTTAAACACTCAGACATATATAATAATTTACACCATCAAAGGGCACATTCTGCAAGTCTGCCTCCTGGCTGCCAGCTCTCAGTCCCTCTCTTCCCATGAATTTAGAGTCCTCAGCTGCTGCCTCTCTCCATGTCCCCATCTCTGCCTCCATCTCTGGTGTCGCTGCTTCTCTGGATAAGGTCCCACATTCCACTTGTGGTCTTCTACCTTGATGGTCCTAGGATCCTCTGTTTCTGGACTGTAAGATTAACTACTCCCCTGTTTTTGTTACAAAACTTCACCTTTAAAATTGTGACAGTCGCAATTAGTCATGATAACAATTACTCACTATTGAATCATAAGAATCTTAGCCCCATCTCTTTTCCCCAGACCCATCTAGACAACATGAAAACTATTCAGTGGGGACTCCAGGGTGCATTTCTTAAGAACAAGCATAGTTGTCACAGCAGGAAATTTCATATTGATGTTATTATCTGGTCCACAGTGAATCCAATCCCAGCAGTTGTCCCACAGCCCAAGGTCACATGTTCCTTTCTGGTGTCATTATTGCTGCAGCTCTTTTAGTCTGGGACAGCTCCTCAGCCTTTTGTTTTGGTTTTTCTTTCTTGCAGGGCATTTTTTTGTGGAATGGTCTTCAATTACAGAATGTCTGTTTGCTAGCGATTAGATTCAAGTTTTGTGGTTTTGACAGGGAAACACAGGTGATTTTGAATCCCTCTCACTGGACAATGTCATTCATAAAAGAGCTTCCCAGAGCTGACTTGTATGATCCAAACAGTGTGTACCCCAGTCACTGCCAGGTGCCTTCTGCTCGTGGTGCCTGAGCTGGGTGGCAGATGCCGGGTGCTGTCCCCACAGCCTGGCTGTGGTACCGCGGGTCTCCTGCAGAGCGAACAGCCTGCTCCTGCCAGTCTGTCAGAGTTCGTGTGGGAGATGAAGTCCACTTCTTAGCTTAGGTCTGTTCTTGGGTAATTTTAAGTCACCTAAAAAAAAATCCGTCTTACACACAGCTCTTCCCCAAACGCAGTCTGCCTAGAAAAAAATGGAAGTTTTTATTTAAATTTGTTTCTATCTCTGGCCTGTGTTCGTCTGTACCTTTTAGAGGGAGTGTGGAGATGGTGACCACCTGTGAAGGGCTCGGCCCAACATTGCTGGGTCAGTGTATGCTGTACAGCCACCAGCTGCCATCGAGTCACCCGTGACTCCTGACCCCCCGTGTGTGTCCGTGTGGAGCTGTGCTCTAGGGGTTTTCATGACAGTCGTCTTTTGGAAGTAGATTTCCAGGCCTTTCTTCCACTATTCGAACTGCCAGCCTTTGGGGTAGTGGTCAAATGCTTAATAATTCACACCACACAGGGACTGTACATGCATACTGATCCATTCATAATCTTAAACTTTCTCTCTGACTGTTCTGTTTGAAGACGAACAGCTCTCTTGACCTGGTATTCCACTGGCTTTTCAGGTGAATCTACTGCTGTCAGGTTCTAAATAACCAGGCTGGAGTCGGCCATGCGTGGGAGCGGTGTGTCTGGCAGGAGTGGCTCAGAAGTCGTGCCGCCTTCCGGACTTTGAGGAACTGTCTGTGCAAGCCCCCCTCCCAGAGCCACACAAGTTGCTGCTGCTCAGCGCTGATATGGAGGGCTAAGCAGAGTGCTGAGAAGATCGGAGTCTCCCTGTCAGAAGCATCGACCTGCAATGGCCTCATTTAAATGCTCACCAAAAAGAAAGCATTTAGGAGGTAACCATGGTGCAGTGAAGCGTTTCTCATCTAGAGAGGTACAGTGGAAATCGGTTGCAGGAAGTAGGATTGACATTAAAGCAGGGATAAACTTTACAGAAATACAGCTCATTGGAGTAAGGTTTGCTGAAGCGTGAAATACTGCTTAACCACTGAGCATTCCACAGTAACTGTAGTTCTTTATTTCCAGAACTATTATTTTTTGGCACAATAGTTACATAACGTTTCTCCTATGATTTTGAATTTAGTTTGGAGTAGATTGGATGCTTCTGAGAACACATTCTGCTTTCCTGGGAATTCAGGGTGGTAGCTTTCTGTGTGTTGGAAAGATCCGAAGGCCTCCTGAAGGCCCAGAATCAGTACTTCTTGAATCGCTCAGGTGCAGAATGTTCTAAAGCAAGGAGCCACAGCCTCTTCAAACAGATACGGGCAGTGTCTTTAGTGAGAATCTTAGTGGTACAATAGTCAGGATGTATGAGTGGAAAGTACCAGTTAAGGGGCCCTTAAACCTGCTACACAGAGGTAGACCGGGAGCCTGATGAATGGGGGGGTCTCAAGAGTGAAGGTTAGTGCTACCAGCTTGTGGACACTGCCTTCGGCTGTAGCAGCTCCTTGCAAAGGCACTCTTTGATGTCCTGTGTCTTCAGTTGGCTGCGCTGTGTCCCCGGGTTGTGGATTCCCAGCTCCCTGAGCGTGGACTACATTTTCCTAGCAAAGATAAGAAAATGAGGCTTGAATGCCCACCCCTTGAACCTACCACACCGTGTCAGGGATCATAAAGTAAATTAGCATGTCTCTGCCACTCCCAACAGATACCTGTTCTCCTGATGGGGTGGGGTTTGCCTCCAGCATTACAATAAATGTAGCCTGCTTTTTCGTTCAGAAAGAATTGTGAGTTGTTTCAACACTGATCTGTCAGGTGGAGATGTGGTCCCGCTGGAGCAGCACTCTGTCCTGGCCTGGAGCTAGGTCACAACAGGCCTTCCTCTTCCAGCCACTTTCCACTGGTGATGGTGAAGGATGGGAACAGAGCTTGATTCTTTATGTTTGGGGAAGCTAGAAGGTAAAATGGGTCCATACTCATTCTCTTCAATGGAATGAATGAATTAGGAAGATTGTATTTACATTCACTTTCTGTTTAAATACGTTAATGACATGAACTGTAAAATACCGAGTTTTGTGTATTATATGTACAGTTGATTTTTAAATAGCCTTTCCAAAGAAATGAGGGCCTGATTATTGTACAGTTCTGTGACTGACTTAATTCAGTGTACAGAGCAGAGTGTGCTCCTAAGGACACCACTATTTAATAGCACTCATTCTGTGTTTTGGCTTTTATGTCTGAGACACTCCATTTACAGTGCTAATAATAACTCAGTAGGTGATAGTGATCCCACTTGTTTGCTAAATGAATATTTGTTTAAATCTGTACAGTTTCAAGTGTCTACTTATACAAAGAGTGTACATACTTTAAAAATTAATTTAAAATGCTTTATATTATTTGGCTAGAAATTACTGTTTTTCATAAATGTGAACTTTTTAAAAATAAAGATTTTTGCTTCCTAGTTTGCCCTCCTGTGTCTGTTTTGGTGTGGATCCTTATTTTTTGTAGAATGGAAAATTTTACTGAGAAATGGGAGATGAGCATGCAATTGTAAAAGACACAGAGAGATCATGTTTCCCCAGTGGTGACATTTTGCAGGATGGTGTCCCAGAGAGGATGCTGACACTGATGCCACCTGACTCAGACTTCCCCACTTTTACCAGTGTCTTGTGGGTTCTTTTGAACGAGATGATTGGATGATTGTTGTGACAGCTATCTTTTGAAGCCTATTGATGCATCATTATTTAAAAAACAATTCAAGTTTTCTGTTTGCAAAACAGCCAGTTTCCTGAGTATTTTCAGTACCAGTAATTGTAATTGTATTGATAAGTACTATATTGTAATACTAAGGAGCCCTGGTAGCGTAGTGGTTACGAATCAGGCTGTGAACGGTAAGGTCAGCAGTTCAAAGCTACCAGCTGCTTCGCAGGAGAAAGATGACGCTTTCTGTTCCCGTAAAGATTTACACCCTCGGAAACCCTGTACAGGGTCGCTATGGGTCGGAACCAACTCGATGGCACTTAACAACAACAACAACATATGGTAATAGTACTTATCAATACAGTTTGATAAGTACCATATTGTAATAAGGTGTCCTGGTGTAGCGCTGTGGTTAATGCGCCAGACTGCAAAGCCGTTTGAACTGCAAGGTTGGTGGTTCAAGCTCACCAGCTGATCCTTGGAAACTCACCCTATACAGGGTCGCTATGGGTCGGAACTGACTCGATGGCACTTAACAACAACATGTTATGATAAAGGAGCTCTGGTAGCGTAGTGGTTATGAATCAGGCTGCAAGTCACAAGGTCAGCATTTCAAAGCTACCAGCTGTTCGTGGGAGAAAGATAAGACGTTCTGCTCCCGTAAAGATTTACAGCCTCGGAAACCCTGTACAGGGTCGCTATGAGTCGGAACCGACTCCATGGCACATAACAACAACAGCATATTGTAATAGGAGTCCTAGTGTGCTGTGGGTTAATGCACTGGACTTCAAGGTCGTTTGAACCACAACGTCAGTGGTTCAATCAATAGCAGTAAAAAAACAAATTTGCACCCCTGCTCCCCCTTTAACAACCAGCGCATCATTAAATTCCTATGGCACTGTAGAATAAGCACTGGACCTCAATGTCAGTTTAAACTGCAAGATCAGTGGTTCAAACTCACCAGCTGCTCCTCGGAAACCCTATAGAGTTGCTTTGAATCAGAACTGACTCGACAGCACTTAACCATTTATCAAACAGGTCCCAGTGTTAAAGGGACCTGGACGTGCTGACGAGAGACTGCTGCTTGCTGAGTAACTTTTCATCAAACGGGGACTTCATTGCTTCCTTTCTGGTGCCCTCCCCTCCTGGGGGGTGGGCTTTTTCTTTTTTAAGGGAGCTTGTTTGTCTTCTGTCCTTCAGTACCCAGCCTCACAGAAAGGAAACACCACATTAAGCACTTGGTTCAACAGCATCCATTAAGTTTTCTCTAGAAATAAAGCTTGTGTTGTCGTTTTGCTCATTTAAACTTATAATAAAATTATAGAAATGTGTACTGTTATACAAAGGAGCTTCACAGAGCATGGAAAATGGAATTGAAATATAATGGAATATTTCCACAGACTTTTTGAAACCCCTCATACATTTCTTTTTAAAATTTTCTCTTGTGAATTGAAAGAAGGTTTACAGAGCAGATCATCAGTTTTACATTCAACAAATCATATACTTTGCTTCAGTACAATGATTGTAATCCCCGCCGTGCACCAACAGCTAACAGCGTTTACCTCTATTCACTTTAACATTGCATCCCTCCCTGTGTCTCCTGTTTTCTTCATCTTTCCTCTGCTGACCTCCCACTTGTTGTATATTGCCTGCCCTGGCACCCGTGTTAACATGAGGCTGCATTCTAGTCTGGAGTCCTGGTGTAGCGCTGTAGTATAAGCACTGGACTGCAAGGTTAGCTTGAACTGCAAGATCAGCAGTTCAAACGCAGCAGATGCTCCTTGGAAACCCTATACAAGCTTGCTATGAGTTGGACCAGACTCGGCAACTTAACAACAACCACCACCCATGAATAATTGTCTCCTCCCCATCCCACTCCATCATAGATTGTTTCTTGTATCAAGGAAACCTTAACTTTTTACAACACTTGTTAAACGTCATTGAGATGGTTCTGACCCATAGTGACTCTGTATAGGGTTTCTGAGGAGCAGCTGGTGAGCTTGAACCATCCTGAACTTTGTGGTTCAAGGTGACTTTGCAGTACAGTGCCACTCCAGGACTCCTTTACAACTTTGGTCTCTTGCAATATTTGTCCTATTCTCACTAATATCACTCAGCATAATGTCCTCCAGGTTCATCCATGTTTTACAGAGACATTGTTAATTTTGAACATTATGTAGTATTCTATTGTGTGTTTGTACCAGAGTTTGTTTAACCATTCTTCTGTTGATGGGCATTTAGGCTGTGTCTCATCTTTTTTTTTTTTAATT